TCTGCGACAAGTTGAACAAAGAATCTAACCATTTTTGGGTCATTAAAGTTTATCACTTTGCCGCCCTTTAAAAGTGGTAATTTTTTGACTTCCACAATAACTAACGATCGGTAGTGTATTTTTTCTGCATAAGCCACAATATCCGGATGCGATTGAAATAAATCATTAGTTTGATGCGGTACTCTAGTATGAACTCCAGTCTGACCAATAGAATTTTTCCCTTCAACCTCCGTTTCAAAGTCTAACAATGATGCCACGTATTCACTTATGGGCTTAAATAAATATTCTTTAAAGTTATCTCTATAGGCAATTTCCTCCATTGATCCGATATGTTTAACAAGTTTATGCTTTGATTGAAAACCAACATANAGCAAATTTGTAATTACTTTTTTTCTTTGATCCTCACTAAACGTATTAGAGAATAGGTCTGTTCTCAAAATACATTGCAAGTTATTTGCGAATCTGCTTTCCGGAATCTNCTCATTGAATGATTCAAACTCTATATCCGAAAAAGTCCGAATTAGAATGTTGTCTGTTGCTTGGCTCAGACCAGTCTTACGTAGAGTATCAGGGTTTAGTAAACTTCCATCGGATCCTTCAAATTCATATTCGGTAAATGGCATAACACAAAAGAAGATGAATAATTCTTTCCACTCATCTGGATGATCGTCAAAATACCACTTGTACTTTTGAGGAACTGTATCCACATCAGATATATTTTCAATTCCAAAAAATTTAAACACCATTTCTGTATGGCTGATACTTTGATTCGCACTTTTATCAAATAATGTACTATAGTTGAATCTGGTAATATCAAACAGATCAATACCAGCATCAACATCAATATCCATGTCCTTGTCTTCATTGTCGCCTTCCAAAATATATCTTCTAATACTATTAGAAAAAGTGTTGTTATTCATCGTGACTAAATTGATGTGAACAAAAAACTTCATTTTTCTTTCTTGTGATACATCCTCAATTTATAGAAGTCAATTAAAGTTAGCATAAAAGAAATATTTGTTTCAGAATTCTCATTGAAGGAAGTATTGTGATTTTGTGGGGTTCTTGAAATGCCAACATCATGAAAAAAAAATGATAATGCCAAGATTAATGAGTCAAGTAATACCGGAGATGATAAACAGGAAGACATTGACGTAGTGGAAGATAGAAGGAGACAGATAATTGAATAAACAATTTCGATGTGCATTCTAAGGCGGCATATTCATAAATTGACCAAATAGATGACGACTCTGTGTAACCTGCAATCCTACAGTGCGACTTTAGCCCATTCGAATTGAAGACCACAATTTGCAAGTTGTGGTATTGCCTAACAGAACAATTAAAGTGTCGGTGCTGATTTTTACGTTCGCATTTGCGACATTGCACCAGCGACATTGCGCTCGGCGGTTGTGCACGTTAACTTTAGTGTGCGAAAAACAACCCTAAAAAAAGTGAAGGAGACTCTCTAAACTAAACAAAAAACAATTTACGCTATTAGGTGTATGGTTACGAAACATTATCAATATTCTATTGTTTAGCTCTGTTTATTTGTTTTGATTTAACAGTACCATGACGTCATGGTATTCTCTAAAGTAAACAAAGAACAATTTACACTATTAGTATGGGGTTGAACGGTTTGCACGCAGTTGCAGGGTATAGTTGCGTTAGCGCAAGTAATAGGTTCAAATGGTCTCCTAAATTTAGAGAATAATGGTCAAATCTGTTTAGAAGCGCCAGACAAAATTCGCGCATTTCGCAGATTGGACTTTATTCACTATTCACAACAAGAAAATGTATGCAAGAAAACTATTGTAATAAGTATAAACAACATCATCCACAGTGTTTGCCCAAAATCTATCATCAATTTTGTTTTGCCAACTGTTTTCATTTTTTACTTATCGTCAACCTGTAGTTTCATAGGTTTTCGTGCACAAAATGATTTAAAAATGACTAAAAATCCCGGAATTAGGTATATATAAATGATACTATAATCTTTAAATCTATCGTACCATTCTAAATACTTTTGCAATCGTATTAGATATGGCCCTCTTAACATTTAATATCATAGGTTCCTTTGACTCCGAATAAATTCGCGTTCGGCTAAAATTAGCTTTAAACTTTAATGGTCAGCTTATCTGAGAATGCATATTCCATGTAAAATATATGCTTTTTTCCCCATAAATATGTATGATAAGATAATAATTTTTGGGAAACTCCGCATTATATAAGATCTATTGTTACTTTGTTCGTATAGCTCTATTATACTTCGAGCATTAGATTTCGCATATTAGCTTTTGGTTATATGCATGTTTTCTCATCATTTGATAAGCTGAAAAAAATAATATACAGTCATGCATGAAGATTTCGTTAATGAGTATTTAAGTCCGGATTATTCGAGCAACAAGAATTCCTACTACAGAGCAAATTCCACGGATACATGCATGCATCAATGATGACAACATCAAGGTGCTTTTAATTGAAAGGTGTGGGAATAAAACCTTTATTGATAAGGGGTTACCAAAAATGATACAATTTGTCATCCCGGATCTTAAATAAATTTCTTACTATTTTCTAGAAATTTAAATAAATTAATGAGCAATTTCTCCTAATCTATAGGACTGTTTCCCTCGGGTAGCACTTTCTGCCGATTACCACAGAAAATTTAGGCTTTTACCCCGCTAAGAATAATATAAATTCGGTTATCCTCATCCTAATAAAAGAATTCCTACGCCTGCGTTCATAATCTAGACATAAACTTATTAGGTAATAATGTTTACAAATGTTCTTCTCTGAATCTTTCCAGTAAGAGCGTTGCATATTTAGCATAATGCCTGTCTGATTGTTCATATATCACTGAAAAAATTGCTCGTATTTACGACCGGGTATCTCCTAAGCTAGCAGCCAAAAATAAATTCTTTATATGAAGTTAATATGATTATGTCCTGAGGTCAATCTTAACGAATTATGAACTGGCAGTGTGTTATCTTGCGTAGATATCTTTAGTAAGAAATTCATGCTTACGTATTTAATTAAAATTAGAATTCTGAATAAGGCATAATCAGAGCAGTATGGCAAAATCAATGCACGCTGTTTGAACTTTTCTACGAATATACAATCAACTTTAAATTTCGGAGTTTAGAGCTAGAATTCGGATGTACATTATGCGTTCGACCAAATAGCAGCACAACCTAATTAGGTTATTCCTTTACCCTTACTGGAGAGGATAAAGAGTAGCTACAATTTAGGAAATCGAAAAAAATTACCATAAATATAACTAATATTCCTTAACTTCTTACTAAAGTTTATTTTTCATACATCAAGATATGAAATCTTCTTTGTTATTTAGAACTTTAATTGCTTTAGCAAGTTCCGTATCTGGGTTGACCATTTCGGAACCAACAGTTCAGAATGGTGCAATCAATTTAGACCTTAGAATTGGAGATGATTTAGATATTAATTCGGATGCATCTCTTACGGTTATTAATGCTATCCTTTCAGCCGATGTTGGTGTTGGTAGCATTAATAACAATGGAGGATTTTATTTCAAGTACGATGGTGGCCTTGCCGGAATTTCAGCGGCCGTAGCTACTGGTGACATTGACAATGAAGGTACCATCGTTTTCAGTTCAGAAACAGACGGTCTTGCAACTGTTTTGGGGTTGACTACAGCTCTTGGTAAATTCGAAAACGGTGCAGATGGTAAAGTATATTTTGATTCACAAGATGGTGTCGCCTCTGTCTATGAATTAGTAGGTGTAAATGGATGGGAGAATGATGGATTAATATATATGAGACAATCCGACAACTTAGTTGGTACTGCACTTATTAATTCTGTTAATATTGGTGGATTATTAAGTGGGTCTGTACTTGAAGCAACAAATGACGGCTCAATTTGTTTAGATAGCACTGCCTACACTCAACTCTTATCTATTCAAGGTGATGGATGTATGACAGTTATGAATGGTGGGTCTATTAACTCTTTGCTTGATCTTGCTACTGGTATTATTGGTCTTGATAATGACATCTATCTCGCAGATGGAAACTCTAATCTTCAAATTGGTCTTGGGAGTTTGAGTATAGGTATTGATGGTGTTATCGATATAGGATCTGCTCCTACTTATAATCTTTACGGATTTGGTGACGGGAATTCACTTCAGATTTTAGGACTTGGAGCTATCGATGGACTTAGTAATATTCCATTACTAGGACCTATATTAGATCTAGTTTTAGACCTAGTAAAGGGAATTGTGGGAAACGTTATTTTAGGACCAGTAATTAGTTATGATAGCAATACTCAAGTATTGACTGTTGACATCAATGTTTTACCAGCGGTCATAAATGCCGCTAAAACACTTATTCCTAATCTTCCAGGTAGTATTACACTTATGAGCTCTAAATATAGGCTTAATGGTGACTACGATAGTACTAAGTTTGAAGTTCAAGGTACAAATATTGTATACAATGGAGACGTACCAAGTCAACTGGTTCCTCAAGCTTGTTCTGTTTGTACCGCAGTAACAATCCCAGATATTCCAACAGGTAGTACAGAGACCTCGAGTACTACTTCATCCACTTCAACAGGTACTGATAACGGCTCTAGTGCTACTGGCTCTGACAACGGCTCTAGTGCTACTGGTTCTGGCAATGGTGCGTCTCCAACTGGCTCTGATAACGGATCTAGTGCTACTGGGACTGACGATGGTGCCTCTCCAACTGGCTCTGATAACGGATCTAGTGCTACTGG